TGTTAATTGAAATTGCTAAGAATTTTTGGTAGCATCATATGCCTATGTGAACCCTAGGTTCGTGAAGGGGGAATGACTGAGAGATGTGAAGTATCTTCTATTCTGTATGTAGAAAATATCTTATAATCTTCCTTGCTCCTTCCTTATGTCTAGAGGTCCATTCTAAAGGAAAAAGAGGTTAAATGCAAAAAAGGAGAAAAAGGAAAAAAAAAAAAAAAGAAAGAAAAAAGTAAAAATAAATGTATTAATGGGGTTGTACAGCTCTGAGCTGCAACCTGTGGGCCAGCTGCAGATTTAGACACCAAAAAACACTGGATAAGGGCTCAACTTCCTTACCCTGGGCAGCTCCTGTGGGAGCAGATGCTGGAGGTGAATAAAGATGTTGCATCCCGGTCCGTGCTGCTGTGCTGTGATGTGCAGAGCCCCTCTCCCTCCCCAGGCAGGCAGGCTCTGTGCTCAGCAGGGCTGTTGTCAGATTGTGGCAGCTCCTTTGCTGCTCCAGCTCCAAAACAAACCCGATTGCCATCTGCAGCACCTCTCTCAGCAGCATCACCATTTTGAAGGACATCAGCAGGATCTCAGCGAGAAACTGAGGTTTTCCCCAGCTGGACCAGCAGGTCACTTTTAACCTGTTTTCTGTTTTCTGAGTTTCTAAGAGCTTCCTGTAACAAGAGCTTTGTGTGGTTCATCCCTTATGCAGCTTTTGATGGATGCTGGAGGAGCCGGCAATTCTCTTCAGCTATGGGAACCAAATCTCTGTGATCAGCAGCCACTTGTCTCCAAGGCTTATTTAGTCTAATCACAGAGTCAAAGCTGGGCACTGATCTCAGCTTTTCAGGAAGAGCAGCTGAATCAAGAGTGGGCAGGAGCAGAGACTGGCACCATTTGTTGTGGGAGAAAATAAAAGCATGGGAGGACCTACAGAATGGATTTTGTAGGATGCAAAATTGGGTGTGTGACCCATTGGAATAGCAAAAAGGACTGAAAATACCCTCAAATGTACCTGTATTGGTTTGAAGTGTTTGGGATTTTTTTTTCTTCCAGTCAGTTTCCCCTTCCTTAGTTATTAAACTAGAGACACAGGCAGAAGGAAATCCTTCTCCACCAGGAGGGTGAGAGAACCTGTTGATACCTCTGCAGGACTTGCTAGAGATACCTTACAGACAACATGTGATGTGTTTAGAGGAGAAATTTCCCTTCAATAGGCAATTTTCTGAAATTCTAGAAATCAGTTTGGTACCTGATGGCCAAACTGGTGCCACAGGGCATCACACAGAGCGATGTGCCCAGCGTGGAAAGCCTCACCTCAGCTCTGCCATGGGGTTCAGCCACCAGCAGCCTCTGCAAACCAGATGGGCAGAGCATTTTATACCCCAGCAGTGGTTCTCCTGCACATCAAAGACACAAGCAGCGGAAGGAGAATTGATTCCAACCCAAAGAAACCAGAAATGAGGAGTAAATAAAGACCAAGCGATCGCCCTGCCGGGTGGCTTCTGCGTGGCACAGGTTTATAGTTAGCAATGCGGTTTGTTTTATTAGTTATAAATAAAGTACAAAAAGTCCACCAAAAGTGAATCTAAGCATTTACACAATTTCTAATGTCTTTCCATTTCTTCAATGCACTATTGCTTTAATATTAATAATAAATATTTTTCTAGCTTTCTTCTATAAAATAGTCTATGTAGCAAAATGTTGCACAGCACAACAGAACAGCAGTAGGAATACAAAAATGTGGGTGATCCTTTCACCTGCCCGGGTCATTAAAGGAGAGGGGGTTTTGTTTACTCGCTCCTTGTTTTGCTTGTCCCTCTTACAGTGACTTTGGGGGGTGGACAGCCAAACCCCCAGTCCCCACACAGCTCAAAATCACAGCTCCAGGCTACAGGGGAGGAGTGTTACAGAGCAGCAAGGTAAAAAACACAGACAGGTTTAAAACCTGGGGTAAGGCAAAGTCAACAAAGCAGCGCAGCACCCTGAAGGGACAGAGAGAAAAGAATTAAGGTACTGTGATTTTGTGCCTTTCTAACCCAACTGAGAATTTCATCCAAAGCCTTTTTGTGGGGAGGATGGCTACTGGCTGAGCACATGCATCAAACCCCACTTCTGCCTGTACACAGCTAAACATCTGCACTGACCGAGCATGGTTATGGCTTAAAGCTTAAAATGTTATCAGAGGTTCTCTAACCTTCTGGCAAAGCTGGAACTCGTGGTACTCAGGAGCCTTTGGGGAAAGGGCAATGCATTGCAAGAGCGGCGCAGCCACAGCAGGATGGGGATGCTTGGCCGTGCCATTTTGGGGCTGACCCCCTTCTAGGGGGCAGGAGGGCTCTGGGGCAGCTCCCAGCTCTACACTGGATTAAAAAGCTCCAGACTGAGGTACCCTCCTGGACAGGAGGGATGAAGCCAACTGGTCAAGATGAGTGTTAAGCACTTCTGCCCCATGTGTGTGTCAGAGCTGGGTTTTAGCCAGTGCCCGTGGCAGGCATTGCAAGGAGATGGCACATGGATCCCGTGTCCATCCCAACCACTCTCAGCTAGACGTGCTGTCACAGGATCACAGAATCGTTTGGGCTGGACGGGACCCTAAAGCTCATCTCGTTCTACCCCCTGCCAAGGGCAGAAGCACCTTCCACTATCCCAGTTTGCTCCAAGCCCCATCCAACCTGGCCTTGGACATTCCAGATATGGGGCAGCCACAGCTTCTCTGGGCACCCTGTGCCAGGGCCTTCCTAGCCTCTGAATAAAGAAGTCAACCTCTAAAAACTGCACTGAATCCCTCAGTTCTGTTGCCTCCAAGCTCAGGCTCACCCTATTGCCTCCTTCCCCCCAGCTGAGGGGTGAAAAGAGCCAAACTGAGCACTGATAGACGCCAAAAATTACAGAGCCACCACACCTGGGCTTCCTTCCTGGGCTTTTGACACAATTTGCAGAGTCTTGCACTAAAGGCATGCATTGCCCCTTGCAGTGGGGGCCTGCTGGGTGTTATTGCAGGGTCACACAAGCAGCAGCAGCAGCAGCAGCAGCAGCAGCAGCAGCAGCATCACCAGAGGCATCAGGGACAGGGCAGTACCAAGAAACAACCAAAACGTTTTGGTTTATGCAGAGCGTCGTTAACCGCCTTCAATGCGCGAGGACACAAGTGAAAGGATCACCAGAGTTTGATTATGAGTGCAAATAATATTCATATATATGTGCTAAACACAGTCACTATATTGCAGTTTTCCACTATGTCACAGCATACAGAATCAAAGGTTTGCATTTTTATGGAATGTATCCAAGGTAACAGCACCACAGTAATACAGTTTGTAATCACACACCCTGATTTTTTTCTCTTTTTTTTTTTTTCTGTTTTTGACAAGATAAGCATTACCCCCCACATCCCCTGTTTAATTTTATTTTAAGTACCGATGCATGCAAAGCATTCCATTCCCAGAAACAATGCAAAAATGAGGTAATAGGAGTAATAAAAAAAATTAGTAGTAATTTCTAAATAAATAAATTATAATTAAAAATGCAAAAAAACAACTATAAAAATAATTAAATTAGAACCCACAATATCTACAAGTTAGTCATAAATTATGATTGTTAAATATAAGGCATTTAAACTCACAAAACCCTGTAAACTATTGATGGTTTTTTTCTATATTTTTGTTGTTGTTGATGATGTTTGTTTTGTTTTGCTTTGTTTTTAAACTCATCCTAACTCGCAACCTACTTGTACAAATTATTTAAACGCAAAGGAACCTGACACACTGATACAACTCCAGACACTGTAAATTCGCACGCACCTTGGGATCAGTCACTCACACGAGACCATGGGAGTTTGGTGCTTTTCTTCATCAAAGGTTTGTTTGGTTGGTTTTGTTTTCTTACAGTTTGATCAATTTTTTTTTTTTCTTAAAAACTGTGCTTGTTTATTAGGCAAATAGTAACACTTTCTCATAGGCTTTAAAAGAAAACACATGGTCCAGAAGCGTTCCTCATTCCCTCCCCACCCAGTGGGGGTATCAATCCCCCTGTTGCTCTCCCTGCTTCTCCCCCACAGGTCACACCTCGGCAGACCAAACCTGTGCAGAGTATTTTACCTCCAAAACCTTGCTTTGCTTGTCATGGTATTAGTATTATTAGTATTATTTGTAATGCTGCTTCAATGCTTGCAGAGCAAGACCCATAGGTATCCATGGGCCACTCCTTGACCCATGGACATCAGGGCTGAGACCACCACATTCCCCAAGAAGCCATCACTTGTGCTGGGTGGCAAATGTGTCATAAAGTCATGGAATGGCTTGGGTTGGGAGGGATCTTAAAGCTCATCCTGTTCAAACCCCCTACCATGGGCAGGGACACCTTCCACTAGACCAGGTCACTCCAGATGCCATCCTGCCTGGCCTTAAGCACTTCCAGGGTTCTCTGAGCAGGCTGTGCCAGGGCCTCCCCACCCTCACAGCCAAGAATTTCTGCCTTACTTCTTCCCTATAGGCCACCATTTTTCCCCTTCCACTCCCTGCCACCTGCTTTGGCACACAATGAGAGAGGCTCTTGCACCCTCAGGTGGGGCTTCCCTCCCTCTCTCTCCTCTCTCACTGGGGAAAAAAGGAAATCTCTGTGTGCCTCTGAGGTTGGTGTTTTCCAGTTACAGCTCATGGGAATCTTGCAATTTCTCAGATGATAGTTTATGACTGAATCTACTTGGGAGAGCATTTCTCTCCAGTGAAACATATGCTCAGGGGAGACAGAAATCATTCCCACCACACCAGCATTTTCAATAGATTATGTTTCTAATTCCCCTGCTGCTGCTCTGCAGCTACTTTTTCCCTTAGTATGAAAGAAAAAAAAAAAAAAAAAAAAAAAAAAAAAAAAAAGAACCAAAAAGAAAACTACAGGTTTTGGTTGTGAATGTCGGTTTTCCCGAGGATTTTCCGCCCAATCCCTGCGGCTGGCGTGCTGAGGTCTTTCTTTATCAGGGGGAGCATGGATGGCAACAGCTCACTCCTTTGGGTATTACCTCTTAATTCTGTTTTGAGTGTTAATGTGATTAAGTTTCATTTTAACAACCACTGATTACTCCTTGTGGGTACGGCCTGAAGCATGCACACAAGCCCACGCGGGCGCGGGTGCGCACGCGTCGGGGCGGGTCAGGGCCCCGCAGCCGGGCTCCCAAAAGCGGCAGCCCCACCTCCACCCTGCCTTCCCCTCCCGCGCCCAAGGGCTCGTGGTCTCAGCAGTGTCTTGTGAGCATCGAGTTTTCTTCTGTCGCCTTATCAAGAGATGCTTTGGCAACGGGAGGAGGGTCAACGTTTTGCGCCTCTCAGCGTTGTTACACCCCAAAGAACAGCGGTGGGCGCCGACTCCCGTAACCATCCCTTTGGAGCAGTGCTGGCGGAGCCAACTCGCCACACAGCTCACAGAAGAAAGCATCACAGACAATTGCAATCATGTAGACAGAACTTCCTTGGATTTCGATATGACAAGCTACTTTGTTAAAATACAGAAAGCAAAGAAACAGCATCTACTCAAATACTGTGCCGCTACAGAAAGTGTCCAGCACCAGCAGACAAGCAGGAACGAAGCTTTTCCCTATTGCTTCGTTCATTTTATCCCCAATTTTTATTTTTATTAAGCTTCTCTAAATTTGCAACACACTGTAAATGCAAGGGAAAGAAGCACACGCGGCTGAGGCAAAGAGCACAAACCCTTCTGACTGTAAACAGGATTTTGCTTTTTCTCCTCTTTCCCCCACCCCAAGGATGGGGATGTTTGACCTCTTTATTCCCCCTCTGCAATGTATTAATCAGGCACCAAAATAAGGAATCTATGAAAAAATATTTGGTGCAAATTAGGTAACAGCAACATGTCCACCACAAGATGAGTAGGGCATCAAACACAACATTTCTTAAGCTAACATGCTCCAGCTGCCATCCATAGAAATAGCTAAAGGACCCCTAACATGTTTCTACATATTTGAGAGGTATATATACAATCCCCATGAAAAGCAGGATTGACAGGCCGGACTAACCACAACTAGTTCCTTCATATTCAACACTAAAATCTTCTGCAGCACGGGGTCTCTGAGCTCCGGGAATGCCAGCTCCCTTTCACTGGGCCTGTATCCTGCGTATATGTGCAATATCTCCTACTGCTAGATATTGTGTCACCTCCTCCTTCTCCTCACTACCGTGCCTGCAGACTTCCCCTCTCAATCAAATGGCTCAGAAGGCAAAAAATTTCGCTGCAAGGGTTTATGGCCATACGACCTGGTAAGGAAAATGGTGTGTCCAGCTAGTCTTTTCAGCTGTCTGAGCCGAGCTGTGTTTCAATGTCCACCCTGCAGATCGGGCACTTCTTGCTGGTGGCCAGCCACTGGTCCACACACACTTGGTGAAAGAGATGCATACAGGGCAACCGCCTGCAGAGAGAAAAACACCACGGTCAGGATGGAGGAGGTCCAAGGGACCAAAAAGAGCTGAAAAACAGCATCTGAGGCTGCATTGAACATTGGAATCTCTGCTGTGGTGACAACCATCGTGACCAAGGTCCTGCAGGCTTTCCCAGCCACGCCAGTTCACACAGGGCAGTGGGCTGGAGGCAGTGTCCTCCTTGGCCTATTAGAAACCCCCACACCATCCTGAATTGAGTTGTTCCAGTTATTAATTGTGCTGGCTGCTAATTTTTAACCTTTCAGGAGCGAGGTTAAACTCCAAAGCCTCTTAGCTCGCCATGGTTGTGTCACATTAGCAGTCAGGTAGTGCCACACCATTCCTACATGAGTGTCCCCACGGAACCTGGTCACGTTTCACCCACATCACCTCTGCCATCATCACATATCACCCCTGTGATACAGGGGAACCTTGAACCACAGGAATCCACAGCAAAAGGGTCAGGGTTTTTCTTTACAATTTAAGGATGAGAAGCAGACCTGGGTACTACTCACCTGCAGTCCCTTTGGCCATGATAGCTCAGCCCCTTGCAATTTCTTATCCCATCCTCTGTCACAAGCAGAGATTTGACCCAGTGAACAGCCTGGGATGTCTGTTAAGAGACAACTGGAATTCTCTTGGCTGAGGATGGTTCTCTGTGACCATGTGGGCAAAGTAATTCTACAATAAAGCAGCTGTGTCTTGGACACAAGCCCAACTCTCCTGGACTTCACACCAACACTGCTTTTTGTCATACTTTGGTCATCTGTCAGGCTCAGGTGTTGATGACCCCAAGCTCCAGATGGTTGTCAGAGATCAGTCTAACCTACCTTTCTCTGTCACTTTGCCACCTGGCCAGCTGGTACAGCCTAAAAGCAGATGATCCAAACCCAGGAAATACTATAAAAACCTGGCCCACTGCTGCTGCAGGGCTCTGCTCTTCCTGTCTATGGGTCATACCAATGTCCATCTACAAAGCATTTGGGTTCCCAGACCCCACAACAGCCCAGGTGAGTTTCTCAGGACAAGAACAGAGACAACCCCACCAGTACACAGCTGCATTAATCCAAATAAACACAACTCAGATGGCACTGAGAGGCAGAGGAGGGGGTGGAAGGATCTCACCTGACGTCCTCTCCGTCTTCAAGCATGGACAGACAGATTGTGCATTTCTCGTCGGTATCTGACTCCTCACCATCGTCTTGCTCAGCTTTGCCTTCCTGGGGTCTTCTCTGCAGCAAGATTAAAGACATTTGGTTAGACCTTGCCCTTCTAATGCTCTCCCAAGCCTGGGCAGCTGCAGGAAGATAAATAATGAGATCTCCACCTATCAGCCAGATCCTCCAGCTTGGGGAAGCCAGCCTAGCCAAAACAGCCAGCGAGATGAGTGTGCCACCAACATGCTGCAGGTTGGCATGTCTCCTCCTGAGGCTGGTGGCAGTGAGGCTGTTGGGGCAGTACCCCAAGGAGCAGCCTGTCCTCTGCTGCCCTAATACAGCCCCCCACCACTTCTTTGCAGTGGGGATGGCCCCATGGTCTCCTTTGTTGGAGGCTTCTCCTTGGGGAGACCCCAAACCTCATGGTGCCACCACTGCCAGGAAGGGCAACCACTGTGCCCCGTGCCAGCCTGGCCACTGGCCCAGTCCCATGCTGTACCACAGGGCCGTGCTTAGCTTGTCAGCTGCCCCTTTTTCTCTTTCCCCACACATCCATTCCTATTCATATCCTTTTCCTGGGCTCACTGGAGATGCAATGAGAGACAAGTGCAGCAGGAGTTACCTCACTTCCAACCTGGGCAATGCAACATCCCTACTCTCCAGCCAACACCAGAAACTACTGGGTGGTTGGGAGTGACCAACACCAGAAACTACTACCCAGACAAGCATTCTTCCCAATTTCTACTGAGCACAACCCAAAAATGTGCCCGTTTGCTCATGGGCGGGGAGGTCAGCTCCGACAGAGGAGACACCCCTGGTGAAGCCAGAGGAGAACAAGGCTCCCAAGGCCGCGGAGCCGCCGCCCTGACGGCGGGTGCGGGGCAGCGCCGCTTGCATGCAGAACGGGGCGGGTTTGCATGCACAAAGCCCCCTTGGTGGTGTGCACTTTCTTACCAGGTGCGGACAGGGGGGAAATTGCACCCGCTGGGTGGGAGAAGGTTGAGACCCTTTTGAAAATTTGGCCCGCAGCTTCCTAGCCTAGAAGTGAGAAACAGGCAGCTGAGCTACGCCACCGCTTCCGCCCCCGGGAGCCCCGCAAGATATCAAAGCAACCCTGCGGGGTTGTGCCTTCCTCCCCCGCCGCGGGGCATGGTTTGGTGGATGGTGCCAGCTTGCCATCCCTGAGGATTGCGACCCACCGAAGTCCTTCCTTCTGCCTGCTCCGTGCCCACATGGACTGAGAGGGGCTGGCAGCCGTGCCACGTTTTGGGGCACTCACCTTCTTGTACTTGTGGGGGAAGGTGAATCTCTCGATGGTGTTCTGGACGGCGCCCCGGCTCACGCTGCCCAGCCTGTCCTCCAGCTGCAGCAGCTCCTGCGGCACAGGAACATCAGGAAAGCGGCATCCTCACTGCTCCCAAGGCACCAGGTGCCACCACACAGCCATACCTGCTGGCAACCGAGGCTCCCTCCTGTCCTCTCCTCAATGGAGATGGCCATCAACCCCAAATCAGCCATGCTGTAATGATGGATCTGATCCCTGGCACTTGGGATAATAACTAAGAGCTCGAGGCAAAGAGCTGGATATCCAATATTTCACAAATTAGGATGGGATTTGAGCTTCATCTGACAGGCTGGGAAACAAAACCCCATAGATCTGGAGCACTTTTTGTTCACAAATGAAAGGAGCCAGAGTCAGCCCAAGCCAGACCCAGGCACCTTGGAGTAAACCATCTTTAAGTAAATTTAACCCCATTGCTTCCCAGTTATTACTAAAATTGATGAAAGACTCATCGCAACCGCCACATCCACACCACAAAAAACAATCTTACAGCTTTATAGCAGAGCTTGCATAAATTCACAGCACTTTAAAAATTATTAATTCCAGTCCCCAGGTACGTACTTCATAGCTCTCCCGCACAGCGGATGTGTGCCTGCTTGGGTTCAGTCCCTGAAGAGCAAGCAGCTGAAGCTGAGGGTAAGGGTAATTTCTGATTTCATGAACAACCTGAAAAAAGTGAGGGAGAAAAATAAAGACACCTGTATACTTGCCTACAGAAAACCCTTGTGTGCCCTGATGTAAATCTAATGCTTTAAAAATTCAAATTGAAAAAATAGATTGACATTTTCACCAATTTAAGCCTTTTGATAACAAAAAAATGAGGTTTTATCAAATACATTTCCTAGAAATTATATGTAGGGACATGCACTCCTTCCAAATAAACTATCTATTATAATAATTCCTGTATCTTCCGTAACATTGTAGTTCCAAACTCCCAACATGGATTCGATTACAATTAAATTGTATTTCATTTAAATGGATGGATTTCTGTTCCAAGCTTTGGTTGTTTCTTTTTTAAGGCTTGCTTTACTACACGGGTATCAGGGTCTGACACAGCACAAGGGAAAAGCACCCTTGTGGGATTTCTGGGGATGTTTTAAGGATTGGCAGTGCTTGGCATGACTTAGCTCCAAATACAGCCTCCTGCTAGGAGAAAGGGTAGAAAATTACGCCAGTCAGCCTGTCTTCTCATCAATCCCACCTCCCACCTGTGCAAGAGATCATGCAAAACCTTTACAGGTGGCATCAAAGCTGTCGTAGAGAGCAATGACTTGATGAGGGATAGCCCTGGGGGCTGACACCAGGGAAGGCAGTCACCCACTGCCAATCCTTCTGCACACAAAAAGTCTTGAGAGACCACAGTTCCTTCCAGTATTAATTATATTATTAATATTAACTGCTGAGTCTCTCACATCCCACCCATGTTTTGCAGACCAGCTTGTGAACGTGGTGCTGCAAGCAATGGACCGAATCCTTCCAGAACAGCTGAGCTTTTCTTTTCTTTCTCTAATCCAGTGCAGTGATGCAACATTATCCTTTCAGACACTCCCTCCCACGGCCGGAGATAAGTGGGATTTGCAGAAGACAGGTGATAGAAAGATAGCAGCCTTTATTTTGACTGCTTTCTGGCAGACAATGCATAAAACATTTCTCAGTAAAAGCGTTTCACTTACCACCTGGGTTGAGGATGTGCTTCTGGGGAAGTGGTGCATCCGAGGTGTGGCCAGGTAATGCTGATAGGGCTGGGGCACCGGCCGGACCTGGAACTGGGCGTGAGTCAGCCCCGCGTCGACGCTGAGGTCCCTGTGGGCACCACGAGGGAGACGTGGCTCAGAGTGCCTGGCTGTGCTCAGGGACTGCAGCACACCAGACCCCGCTCACAGGGTAACCTCCCTGCTGAGCTCTGGGCTGCTCCTCAGCCTGGGGAGATGGATGGCTTGGCTTGGAAGGGAGTTTCCTCCAGTTTGGGGAATCGCCCACCAGGCCAGCATGAAGGAGTGAGGGGTTGTTTCTATGCCAGGTAGCATTTCAATTATTCGGGGTCAAGAATCTGCTAATTTCAAAGCAAAAGCATTTTGGTGGCTCAAAAGGATACCCAGGCTCAGCAACTCAACCTGGTCAGGCCAGGCCCTTCCTGTGCTGCCAGCGCTGCAAACTATTACAGTTTGCCTTGAATGTTTTGCAGGAATACAGTCAATTACTCAAGAGACTCAAAAATGAACCATTTTGGTAGCTTTTAGAAGCCAGATGGGCACTCTCTGTGGGCTTTTTTGATGTGTCTGTGCTCTCCTTATAGTTCTTCCAGCCCAGATCATGGCAGGACTTGGGGAATTAAAGGACACTGTGACTTGCTTGAATCCAGCCTCAAGGTGGTGAGGGTATGAGGTACGAGGGTGGGCAGGCCCTGGCACAGGGTGCCCAGAGAAGCTGTGGCTGCCCCTGGATCCCTGGAAGTGTCCAAGGCCAGGCTGGACAGGGCTTGGAGCAACCTGGGACAGTGGAAGGTGTCCTGCCCATGACAGGGGTTGGAACAAGATGATCTTTGAGGTCCTGTCCAACCAAAACCATTCTGGAATTCTGATTCTATGAACTCCAGAACTGTGATTTGTACAAAAAAATATTTTAAGATTTTAAGAAATGTCTGGGTGAGGCTGCTGGAGGAAAGGGTGAAACAAAACTAGAGGGCCAGCACCAATGGAGCAAGACATCCCTGGTGGCCCTGCTTGCCTGAACACAGCCTGGCCCAGGCAAGCAGAGATGGAGCTCAGCTTGGTGAATCTGAGCACTGTTATCCTCCACAAAACTAACCCAGCTCAATCCCTGGATTTGTCATAACCAAGATGCCATCAAGCATCACAGCTCTGCTCAATCCAACACAAGAGACAAACTGTAACCCCACCACTACCACACCATGTGGAGGGACTGGGAGGGGGCCTATGCAGCATCTCCATCTCTAATCCAATTAGCTGATGCCCATTCTCTCCAGCCAAAAGTTACTCAGCAAACAAGTTCTTTGAACATCATTCACTTTATCATCTTTACAAAATCTGTTACTCTAATAACAATTGTCTTCTGTTACTTCTAATAACAATTGTCTAACATTTCCCAAAGAAAAGCTAATTAGAGAGCAAGGGTGGCTTCCCGTTTCAGCCTCCAATTTCTCCTCCCCTTCAGAGAGGACAGCAGCAGTGTGTACCACACCTTCTTGGGAGCAGCCCAGATGTGTCCTCCAGCAGCTGCGAAACTGCTTTCACCAACCAGAAGATGGGGACCTGAAGGGACATTGGATGCAGAAATCCTTCATCCAGAGCAGCCTGTGCACCAGGCAGCAGCACCAGTGCTCTAGACCTCCCTAATACCTGCACCAAGCTGGATGGAATGATCCTCATGGGTCCCTTCCAGCTCAGGATATTCTGTAGTTCTATGATTCTAAGTTGAGGCCAGGAGAGGGACTACCGTTTCTGGCCCTGTGTTTAGACAGACAAAACCTGGAAGAGGATGAAACACAGCAGGCAACTGGTAGGTGCACAGCCAGGGTGAGAATCCACAGGTCTTGGCACTTTCCAGCTCCTGTGTCCCAATTTTGGATATTTACCCAATATCTTAAGGTTGTTCTCAGGTTGATGGAGGGCTCAGTTGGAAATCAAGAGGCTTTGGGTCCATTCCCAGCCCTGCCACCTTCTTGATGCATGACCTTGATCTTTTTCCTCTCTGGCTTCCCGTATTCCCTGTCTATGAAATAGATGTGGTAATTCATGGGGTGCTTTGAGACCAAGGACTGAGAACGTCTCTCAAAGGTGAATGGTCATTATTAAATTGCATGAGTAACTGCAGTAACAGGACTGCTGAACTGTTTGGGCATCTAGACTTAAAATCAGACATTGAGGTTCCTGAGGTGATGCTTTGGGTCTACACATGTGTCCAAAGAAGAACAGAGCACAAAACAGTGTTTTCCCAGGGTTTGGGGCTGAAGAAGCAGAGCACACTTGCTGAAGGAGAATGGAACTAACTATCACTTTCTAGCCCATGCTGCAGGAACAAGTGTACAGCATCTTGGTGCTCAGGAGCAAGGTCCAAGAGCTGTGATCTTCGTGGTAAATGGGCTGCCATCAACCAAGGAGTGAAGGACAAGACACCAGATAAAACAGGTAGGATGGTCATCACTACATGTGTGAGCAGATGATGATTTAAGGAACCAAACGGGAGTTTGTTTATTCTTCACCAGAAGATTTCAGTTGGGGTTGGGCTGTCTGAGACAGCCTCAGATCTTTCTTCCATCCCCATTTCCACCTCCTGTGGCAGCACCCACCACCTACAGCCTCTGAGAAAACACTGCTGCTGCTGCTGCTCATCAGGGGTAACACATTAGAGGGGAGCTTTTATATTTGTCACTGGGCAAAACTGTATGTGTGCCCCAAGGGAAAGTGAGTCACCCAAACATATGCTCACCGTGTATGGTTTCTGTCACCCCCACTCTTTGGGTTTTATAAGGCTATGGAGCAACAGAGGGGAGAAAAGGAGGGAGAGGGAAGGCACTTAGTGATGCTTTATCAGATACTTCTAATGATCATAATTAAGCACTCTGAGCTGAAAGAGAGGCAGAAAGAATCGCTCTATCCAGATGGCACATGAACTGCTTTGCAAACCAATCTGAAAAATGTCATCCTGACCACATTCAGCCCACAGGAGTGCCAATAATGGGAACACCTGAGAAGAAAATTGCAGAAGGATGTGGTCATATTTTAGATTGTGTATTATGCACTGAAGGGAGGAAAAAAGCAACAACTCTGGGTTAAAAGGACTTTTCATTTGCAGAGTGGAGTGCTCAGATGTTAGGAAATGCCATCATTAAGACTTCCTGTGCTATTTTATTCCAGCCCTCTTGTGCAAATACATTGCGATTGTCTTTAATTACAAGTTCACATGCTATTTTTTCCATTCACTGCACAGAATGGACTTTGCTCAGCTTACAAGCAGCTACTCAGAAGAATGTTTTTATTTTCGCATTCTTTTGACCAGGTTACCATACTTTATTAACTGTTCAAGGGCTCTCAACCTGTTCTGAAAATGAAATGAACAATTTCCTGCAAAGCTTTTCCAGGGTATTAAGCACTACAGTTGGAGAATGATGAACAAATCTCCATTCATACTACCCTTCATGGCAGGGTAGCATGGTGCTCCCTAATTTGGACCACAGAAAATATTATGGCCACTAGGTTTTGAGTGCCTGAAGGACAGCAAAGGGTCTAGTTCAGGCAAACTGTGGTCTACAGGATAAAAACCTCCTCTGTACCCTACAGAGAAGAAATTGGGAGAATTAATGCTTGGCTTCACTATTAATCTGTAGGTGAAGAATTATGAGCAACAGCAATGGAGCGTGCCTAAAGGGGGGCAATGGAGCTGGGGAAGGTTCTGGAGCACGAGTCTGATGAAGAGCAACTCAGGGAGCTGGAAAAGGGGCTCAGCCTGGAGAAAAGGAGGCTTAGGTGGGACCTTGTGGCTCTGCACAGCTCCTGACAGGAGAGGGCAGCTGGGGGGAGAACAGGAGCTGGCCCCAGGGTACAAGGGAGAGGAGGAGGGGGAATGGCATCAAGTTCTGCCAGGGGAAGTTTAGATTGCCTATTAGGGAAAAGTTCTTCATCCAAGGAGCTGTCCAGCCCTGGCACAGCTGCCCAGGGCAATGCTGGAGTCCCCACTCCTGGAGGGATTAAAAAGCCATGTGAATGTGGCACTGAGGACATGGGTCATTGGTAGCCTTGGCTATGCTGGGGAATGGTTGGTCTTCACAGTCTTAGAAGGCTTTTCCAACCTAAATGATTCAATTATCCATTTATATAGGAGGCTTTCACACTCTCACAGACATCTCAGAGATGAGTTTTCCCACTGCATATTCCCCACACTGTAACCACTGAGCTGGCTCATTAGCTTTCATCAAAGCCCTGATCCCTAGTGGCATTCCCCAAAACTCGCAGTCTTCCCAGGACTTTTTAAACACCTCACTGGATGTTCATTTCACAGCAGTGAAATGGGGATCACTTACCAGTCCGTGCCCTCTGCCAAATACCTGGGCTGGGGGCCCATGGGCTGTGGAGTCTGCAGTTGGTGGCTGAAGTCGAAGCTGGGGTGTAGGCGGTGAGGCTGGACAGACATGCGCTCTTGGGCCCGCCTGCGGGGAGGAGAGCAGCAACAGCGAGGGTCAGACACACCTGGGCACTGGAATTCCTGCCCACAACCCATGGGCAAACCCCAAAGGCTGGGCTTGAGGACAAGTGTCCAAAGATAAGCACTCCAGGCAGGTGTAAGGGGTGATGGGAAGAGGAATCCAGGGCTGTCGTTCCCTCACCGCCATCACGTGGCAATCCACTCTCAGGCCCTGTGGCACCCACATATGCTCAGTTTGCAGGACATGCTCTTTGCTGGCAACATGCAGAGAAGAAGGGGAAACCAAACAACTTCTCAGCAGCTTTGTGCAGTTTGCACTATTTCCTCTTTTGCTGCAGTCAGCCCCATAAACAACACACAAAGTAAAATGTGCCCCTGCTCCAGCTGTGATCCATCATCATAAAGAAGCTGCAGGTTTTCTCGTCTCCCATGCAGTCCATAAACTCCTGGGGAACCTCATTCATAACCAGATTACTCACGAGTGACTGAAAGCAGAATTTACTCTCACTGGCCTTTGCCAACATTTCTTTGGATGACGGACAGGCCAGGCTGGGTTCCAGGTCCTTCTCCCTCTGCTCTGCTGCCATTGCAGGCAGGGAAAAGAAAGTGCTAGAAAATACAGCATGGTTTTTCTAGGGATTTGTGTCTCATGATTATTGCTTATTTGAACTACTCAGGGGAAGTGAATGTGCTGCTGGATCAGTGTCCACATTTGGCAAGAGACAAGGAGGATGCAGAAGCAGGATTTGCATTACAGACAGGCTCCTACCCTTTGCTTCCTCACCAGTGGAACTATCAAAACCAAAATATTCAGGAACAAAACTAAGGCAAATGGAGCAGGAGACTGCCAGGTAAATAACTTTTCATGCAGCCTCAGTTCAGAGGCTTCACTCTCAAAGGCATAACCCATATTCCCATTACTGGGACTGCCTACCCCACACCTGTAAGGGTTCTGACACCCTACTCTACTACTGCAGCTTTCAGAGACAAGCATTGGGACTGGGCAAGAGGCTCCTGCCTTCTTCCACACCACAGCCCACTTGCAAATACAACACTAACAGCATTTACCAAAGCAGATTCTGCATGGAATTTTGCTCTGTGCTTTTATTTGAATTCAGCTTATGACTAAGAGATAAACACTTGTATCATCAGTTTCTCAGCCTGGAACATACTTGCTACCCAATTATTAGCTAATCATTAAATCCACCTAAAATCCAGTTTATGCATAACAAAACAATGATGAGAAGAACACACAATTTTCAGACAGAAAGGACATGGAAAGAAAGGGTTTTCTATCCATAGCATTCTTTCCAAATGAAGCATCATTGCAAAGTCTCATCCTCTGATTCTTGATCCATGGGTACAACTCACAAATAGCTTCCATATGTTTCCAAAAAAAATCACTCCTCTCTTGAGAAACACAATCAAGACAAGGCCAGGCATCCATTTCCATCTCTGCTGAGTTACAGCAATTCTCTCTGCATTTGTCAGCTCAGTGTGGATTTAGGATGCTCTCTGTGACAGAGTGTGCTGCAGGTCAGTAGCAACATTCCCTCACAGAGACGGACAGCCCACCAAACCCTGAGCAGCACGACCTCCATGTGTACAACCTGATGAGGCAGGTGGGCATGCACAGGTTTGAAACAGCAGCTACGAGGATGTAGCTCACACACGGAGAGACAGGAAAGGCCCCCAGCAACACCACCATGATTCTCCCAGGAGTGACAATAATGGGACACACCAGATGGGCACAGTAGGGATCCCCACAGGAAGGGCACACCTTCAGGTGCAGCCTGCCCTGCAGCCTCCCTTCTGGTGAATGCATTTTCAGTGCACACAGGCGAGCTCGAGAAGAAAACCCAACCCCGCCAGCGCGGCTGCAGCTCCACAGGCGACGTGAGGCTGGCGCGGCTTCTCCACATCCTTTGGGAAGAGCGGGGTGCCCTTACCTGGGATGGGGCATGAGCCGGCGGTGCTGTGCCTCGAGGAGCTGCTGCTGGAGGAGGTATTGCTGGTGTAGCGCCTGAGGTAGGAAGGAGGGCCCGGCGACGTCCTGGAAGGGCAGGGCGGGCACGGGCGGCAGGGGCTGGTGCAGGCCGCCGCTGTGCTGGTGCGCGGGGGCCATGTGGGGAGCCAGCCCCGGCTGCGGCTGCACCGCGTGAGGCAGGGCGAAGTCGGCGGAGAGCTGAGGCTGGGGACCCAGGTGGAAATGCCGGCAGGAGGTAGCATGGGGATGCTGAGACCTTTGAAAGGGAGCACCTGGAAGAGAGGAGCACAGCGGTCACCGAGGCGGGAGGAGGGAAGGGCAGAGCAGCGCCGTGGTGGCCCACCCAGGGAAAGGGTTGGGCAAACGGGTGTCACTGTCCACTTGCAGGAGGTTTGTAAATAAACACAAGTAAAAGGGAATGAGTTAAAGCTGATTACAAGAAAAAGTGCTGGTTTTGACCAATGGTATTTCTTATCCAAGAAAACACTGGAGCCAAAACATAGATTTGGGTTCAAAGTCCTGTTTTGGCTCCAGGTTGAAGTGTATACTGATGAAAAGTGCTTTGAGCTTGTTTTGGCTTTCCTGTCTTAAACAGAAAAAGAACAAAAGTTTTAATAGAACGTTTGGAGATAGAAAAGGGAGTGATGGTTTTAAACAAAAAGAGAGGAGATTCAGCCTAGATAGGAGGAAGACATTTTTGTGCTGAGGATGGTGAGGCCCTGGCACAGATTGCCCAAAAAAGACATGGATGCCTCCTCCTTGGAAGTGTTTAAGGCCAGGTTAGATGAAGTTTGGAGCAACTTTGTCTAGTGAGACACATCCCTGCCCATGGCAGTGGGATTGGACTAGATGACCTTTAAAGGTCCTTTCCAATCCTAACCATTCTTCAAACACTCTAGAAAAGGAAATAACTAACAAAACCTGTTTTCTAAAATATTTGGGTATTGTATATTATCTCATAGAAGTTTTGAATCTTTTCCCTGAATTGCAGACTTTTCCTGCAAGTGATTTCTTTGCCTCTCTAAAACTGTCTCATAGGCAAGGAAATAATCTCTGCTCTAAAAAACTGCCTCAGACTGACTTCAGGACGTGAGTGAGACAACTTCCCCCTCTGAGAGCAGGGATGAAGGCCCTGTGTGTTTGCTGAGATCCTTCAACAACCCGTCCTCATGAGCTGCATGCAGGGAGAGAGCAGCTGCTGGAAACACAACATGGACTGCTAAGAGACCAGTCATGAAGCTGATGGGAATGAGGAAGAAATGAGGTGTGAAAGATATCCATAGTGGAGGCGTTTTGCAAAACATCTGGCACTGGCTTGCACCTTGCTCAAGATCCTTTCTTGGACAGGCCCTTGGCCCAGTCCAGCCTGTTAATTCCTACATTCCTGGAGCATTTATAGGCATCATACAAAACGTTTGGCTCTTTAACTGGGGAAAGAGTCAATTCAGAAATGAAGGAGGGGACTCGAGTGAGGCTATTAGAAATGCCTCTTTGCTGATGACCAGCCCCAGGATTGGACACCTGCCTTTTTACAGTGTTTTGAACACCCCTTCTTCTTCTTTCTGCTTTAATCTTTGTGAATGGTACAAAACATCCTGTAACAAAACACCAAGAGAAACTATTTAATCCCAAAGCACGAGTATGTACGTCATGCCTTCTTCACCCAGATCCCTTCTGCTCACATCTCCCTGGCAGGCAGGGCCAGTCCATCACAGGAGCTCAGGGAGTCCTGAGCAAGCCAGATGCCAGCAGGAGAAACAACAGGAGAGGGCCTATCAGAAATGGATGGTTTGCAAAACTGTGCATAATTACACACAGCACCTCTTAAATGCAAACTAATCCTCCACAGTGCCCCTCAGAGAGAGAGCAGGTTACACAATATGTGCCACCCACAGCAGTGCTTCTTGAGGTGATAATTTCCCCTGCTGTCAGATAACAGCATGATTCGACCACGATATTAATTAAAACCAGAGGTGGTGGGATCAGACCTGCTGCTCCTCAATGACAGAGCTGCAAAGCCAGGCCAAAGAGCCATTCATATACCCTGTTCCCCTGCAGGTTGCATTTGCTGCTGACAGCCTGGCCCAAATTCACCACAAAGAGGTAAAGGCTGTGTAATGAAGTGGGGACCCTGCACTTCCCTGGCCCATTGCTGAAAGGAATTGTGAGCAGAAGCCTCTTGGCTGCTGTGAATGCCAGGGAACTCGTGGTGAATTGCTCAGCCTCTGATGACCGTGTCCCAGTGGAGAACTGCTGCAGCAGGTCACGGGTGAGCCATTGTGCACCCCCAGGCCTGGAGACAAGGTGTGAGAGCAGGTAAAAGTGCTAGCCCTCTGCACACACTAACACTCCAGCCTGTGCCACCACACTGAGGTTCAGCTGTATTCCAGAAAAAAATGAGGTTCAGCTGTATTCCAGACAAAAATGTCTTAGGGAGACACCAGGCAGTAAAACTCAGGAGACTCCCCCACATTTCCTGGGACACATTCTCCAGCACATAAGTAAAGCAGAGAAAACCTGTCTCTCATCTCCTGTGACTCTCTTGTCTCTCAAAGCCTGGTGAGACCTCAGCCAGTGATTTTCAGCTTTTACTGAGTCGTGGGAATCCTTAATTCAGTTAAATGTCTGGAGGGTCTTTGATGCCAGAGCCATGGTGAGCTGGAGATCTAGGTGGGCAGATCTGCTGGCCATGTTTTTGATTTGGATTTTGCTTCTCATACAAAGACAGTCCTTGAGAGGAACTCAGTCATACACTTTCCCAAGGTTCAGAACATGTAAACTTTATCTGCAGTATGTGTGCAGGAAGATACACAGAGCTAATGTATCTGAAAGCAAAAGCCTAACTCGTTTTGTTTTGGTACAGAGTCAATTAGCCTTACCTTTAAGAACGCATTAATTAAATAAAGTATTTTTCAGTATTTTTTGCTAGTACCTACTGGTACAGTGATGCATTTCTCTTCACAGGAATAACACCATCAAGATGTGACCGAGACCATATGATTAAATAAAACCCATCAATTTGTCTTAACATAACACATTACCCTACGTAGTAATTGTTCATTCTCTTCAACTAATCCAATTGCTGATGAGGATTTTTACAGCAAAGCAAAGACTTTGGGGAATACTTCAGCAATCCTATGCTTATTAGCAGTTATCCAATTACACTGCTGGCATAACCAAGCCAGTCTGCAAAAACAAAGAGCCAATCCTCACTAAGCAGGATGCTGGTGAGCCCCAGAAAGCCTTGGCAAACAAATAACAGCTCAAAACAGAACACTACATTTTTAAGTTAGCTATTTTTGAGTTTACCTTGTCCTACTCATTGCATCTAGATGCAAAGGGCTCTGGTGGGGATTGCTTTCCCAGTACACATTTTGGTCTCACGTACACAAGGTAAGTACAGTGTCACCCTGCAAACTTGAGCTGAGCATCCTTGTCCAGGTAACTCACCACAATCAACACCAAAAGCAGGCACTCATCCCTTTGAATTCCACACATTAGCAGTGTCAGAGAATCACAGGATTGTTAAGGTTGGAGAAGTTCTCTAAGATCAGCGAGTTCATTAACCCAAAGTCATCGTGTCCAACCCTTGCCCCCAGGTGCCACATTCACATGACTATTGAACACTTCCAGAAGTGGGGACTTCACCACTTCCCTGAATGCCTCCTCCAAAGCCAGTCCACATTTTCTCTGAAGAAACTTTTCCCAATATTCAACTGAAACCTCTCCTGGAACAGCATGAGGCCATTTCCTCTCATCCTATTCCTTGTTCCCTGGGAGCAGAGCCCGACCCCCACCTGGCTGCTCCCTGCTTTCAGGGAGTTTTGGAGAGCCAGAAGGTCTATTAGTGATTACTTGCTAGTCTTCTCCCTCTTTTCCAAGCCACAACTGTGATCCTAGATCACATTTGCATTGACACCAACAATGACAAACATTCCCCATAAGATACTTCAAGAAAATTGAATTCACGGATTTAATCTGCTTTTGGCCTGGATAGCAATATCTGCCACAGCAGAGACTAATCCACGATTTTAATGACTAAAACTGAGTCCCGATACCACATTCCAGCTTTTGTTTTCACTCCCCACTACAAGGGCAGAGCTGATACTTTCATTAGCCAAGCTTTGGGTACACATCCACAGCAAAGACAATGACGATGTAAAGTCTGCCTATCATGCTCCAGAGCCACTAACTGCATCCTCCACAATCCTAGTTCCCCATCACCTGTCCAGTGGTGCCTACATGAAGGCAATGTTGCTCTGGGATCAGCAAGGCAGAGACTTTTTTTCAGCTTAATGAACTTAAGTTTTGGTTGTCATACTACAGAAGGATTCTCCTCTTCCATTGGGATACTTTGATTTCGCAGGAAGAGAGACTAGCCACATCTTGGATGTTTTTATGGCTTACCCTCCATGTCCTCCTTACTTCTCCAGCCCAAGACACAATCACAAAATCCCAGATTAAAGGTCAGAAGGACCGCTGGAGATCATCTAGTCCAATCCTCCTACTTAGGCAGGGTCCCTAGAACACATTACTCAGGATTTTGTCCAGCTTTTTAATACATCCAGGGAAGATTTTCATGGAAGTCCACAGAGGCAATACAGTCCTCACCAGCCTTAGAGAGACTTTTGACCCAAGGCCAGCCTGGAAACGCCTTTTGCTGTGCCCAGCCTGCTGGCTGGGATGAGAGGGCCAGCCCCTGCGTGAGGCTCATTGGTACCTTGCGTAATTCCAGTTGCTCCTGTCTGGAGCTGTGGACAACTGATTTACCTGGGATCACTGTCAGGCTGCCCACCAGCCAAAAACCATTTTGTTGTCCTGATGGTGCTTCCTTTCATTTAAATGCTGTTGCTGTAGCAGATGATGACAGCTCAGAGCACCATCAGATCAGCAGCTCTGAGATGAGCGATGCATCACATCTGTGTCAGCAAAGCAGGTGATTTGCTCCAGTTTTGGGCAGTTTTCCTTTCACGGGTTGAGGCCAAATGCCCTCAAAATGCCCCCAGATGCCTACACACACACCTAAGCTCCCAGTCTGGACAGCCCTTGTTACCTTATGCTCAGCTAAACCACAGAGATAGCTAATGCCTGAATCTAGGTAATCCGGCTCTAAAAGGTGCTTTGCAAGCCTCAAAATTTGTGATAACACATGGAGACCAAGACAGGATCTGCTGGAGAAATTAATCATGTCTTGGGCAAGCCAGGCTGTCTGTGGGGTGGGAAAGAGAGCTAGGTGGTTCTCTAGCATAACTGGGGACGAGTCTGACCCAAA